CTTTCATTTCCTCCTCTGTTATTCACACCCACATCAATGCAGTCAAAAGCAACAAGTCCCAGCTGCATGTTTTCACATCAGGTGGTACTGGCAATACTTTAAAATGAAATCCTATAGTCTCCCATTCTGGAACTGACAAAGTTTTAAGTCAGGAAATGTTTTAATGTGATTTTTTAAAAGACATTTGAGTACCTCAAAACAAAACAAAAAAAAGACTATTTTGACAGGTACAGTCCAAGCGCATAAAGGGATTCATGTTTAGTTTAAAATTTTGATTTGGATTTACTGGGACTGTTAAAGTTTACTATTAAAATAAACTTACGAATAACTTTTTTTGTAATTATCTGCTCTGATTTATTAATATGTAAACAACTTCAAATATTTAAAAACCTGACATCATAATAACAACACAAACTTAGTCTTGGATGATGGAAATAAAGATTGAACTTGAAGATCTTGGAAGTCTTTTCAACCTCAATGATTCTGTGAAATCCAACTACTTATGTTTAAAACCCTAGCCATTATTTTTAAATAAAAATCTCACATTTTCACGAGTGATTTTTTTTTCCTTCCCTTTTCATTTGAAAACAGATCTCTCAGTGCTTATATTAAGGTGATGATTTTTTTTTCAGCTATGCTACATTTTTTATAAGATGATGTTGCTTGTGGTCTGCTTTCTGCCCCCTTATGGAGGACATATGACAACTTCTATGACAACTGAGACTTCAAAAGATTTATTGCCACATATGTGTTTAATCTTCCTAGAAAATGTTTAAAAATAAGAATAAAAGGAATTATGTAACTTTGGAATTATGTCCTGCTGCTTTGTCTGCTGCACCAAGCAATTGTGAACTGTTTGTATTCAGCAGGTATTTTTAGATGGTGAGGTAGGCCTTTTCTATAGAAGTGAGATATAATGTGCTGATTTTAATAAGGCATGGAACATGAAAGATGGTCTTGATCCTTCCTAGCCCACGGACATTTTTCTGTTAAAGACCACAGGAGCAGATCATAAGACCATTTAAAAAAATTTAACATCAGAAAATAGAGAAAAATTCTAGTCAGGACTAAAAAAATATTTCCAGGATGCTTTTGATTTTTTCCCCTGCAAAGAAAAATCAGTTTTCAAAAAATATGGGTATTTCTGTGGTATCTGTTTGCCCCTTTCTTTGTGCAGCTCATTATTAGGGCAGCGAGCAATGCTGTGCGTTGTAGGCATCCAGTCAATAGCAGCAAAGTGTTGCCACATTTCTCTTTGCAGAGAAAAGCAAGGCACAATTCTTCCCAAGAATATTTCTGAGATTCACATTCTCTGAACCTCAGAGAAAGGAAAAACATAATTCTTATCATTTGCTGTGCCTGTGTTGTGCCAAAGCAGAATGCAATATGGAGATTGTTTACCCACAGTGAGGATGTTTTGTTCCCTTGGCATGTCAGGGCCAGGTGTGTGTGTGTGGGTGTGTGTGGGGACTGTGGGTGACAGCCACGAGATTCTGGGCAGTGCGTGCAGCGTGAATGCTTGCCAGATTCAGTTTAGATGAAATGTATATAGTATAGTATAATAAAGTAATTAATCAGCCTTCTGATATCCATGGAATCCTCCTCATCATTCTCTCCCCTTGGTCGGAGTCACCTTTGATTTACAATAAATGGTGACCTGACATGTGGCTGTGGCCTGGACTGGGGAACCGAGACCCTGAATTTGGGCAGGGTTCGCAGCACGGCTGAGCACAGAAGAATCTGCCGAATTTTCCCAGAAGCGTGTCCAGAGGTCTTCGTGGGACGGACGGGAAAAGCCTCTAGGACCCCGCGGGACCCGGAGCCTGGATGCTGCCGCCTGCTTTCCCCTGAGAGGAGGGTATTAAGCCTTTCCTGAGTTTCCCTAGGGGAGACTCGGTCTTTTTCTACCGTGTTTAGCCCCCAAGCCTTCGAGGTGGGGCTTGGGAAGCTCTTCTGGCAGGCACTGCCCGATTGGGTCGGCTTTGACTTGTCAGGGGAGGTGAGCCCTCAATTTTTATGGGGAGAGAGGTTCACTTTGGAATTCGGGGAGCTCACGCTTCGTGACCATGGAGTTCTCGTGCCCCAGCAATTACTTTATGAGTTTTTTGACTGGGCCAGACGCCATGGGCTCCCCATGGGTATGAATTCCTCCTGGGACCCCCGAGCACGGAATGCCCTGGATGCTTATCTTCTCAGGCATTTCCAGCGGACTGGGAGGGTCCATCGGCAGCTGCCGACCTGGGAGCTGCTTTTCGCATTTGTGAGAGAGGACCACCTTCGTTTCAAGAGCGTTTCTGACTTCGTGAGGGCCTCCGGCAGGGCCGTGTGGGGACGTCTTCCCCCGCGCTGAGGGCCCACCAGCCCCCCCCCCGCCGCATCAGGAAGGAACAGAGCCTCTTCAAGGACACTCCCCCAGAAGAATCTCCTCACGGCCAGTCCCCGCCGCTGGCTTGTCTCCCCGCGCGGAGCCGGGAGGGGAGGCTTTGCCTGAGATGCCGGCAGAGAGGTTTTTTCCTGACACCCTGGAGCATGCGGAATTGGAGCCACCCGCAGCTCCGGCGGCGGCAGTGCCGCCTCTGGCACCGGCAGTCGCCGCTTCGCCCGGGTTGCCAGGCAAGGCAATGGACAGCGGCGGTGAGCCACGGCAGCGCGGCTCAGAGCGGGGGCCGCTTCAGTGTAGGGTCTCCGCCGCTGACGGCCGGCCTGGAGATGCCCCGGCAGCCAAGGGAGTTCCCGGCCGGCACCGCCGCGGAATTCTCCCTCCTCCCAACTCCGGGAGGGCGCGGTCCCGCTCGCACCCCCACCGAGGGAGACGGCTGGCAGCCCCGCGCCCACCGGTGCACCAGGTCTCCCTGCAGCACAGCCAGCAATTGTTGTCACGACATCGGCCCACGCAGCACCGGCGGGGGACAACTCCCCGGCTGACCCGTCGGTCTCGCCGCTTCCTCCACCTCTCCCGGGGCTGAGAGACACCCGCGGCTCCGGCCGCCCCTACAGCACAGCCCGTGACGGCTCCGACAGCGGCGTCCCCGCCCTCGGCCTCCGCCCCGGCGGGAAATGTTGAAGGTGAGGACCGATCCCCCCCGCCGCCTCCCGCCGGCCCGGCTCCTGTTTCAGGAAGGCGCTGAGGACGGTGACCAGCCCACAGAACCGCCCCGAGCGCCGCCCGCGGCCCCCGGCGGTGGCTGCCCGCGGCCCCCGGCGGTGGCTGCCGCGGCACCTGCGGCCTGCCGGACCCCCGAATGTTTCGGGCTGTGCCGAGGCTGCCCGTGCGGGGGGAGCTGGGACAGGGGAAGGCGACTCCGCCCTGTCCACCAGGGGAGGCACGGCTCGTTTGCTCATAGCGGGCGCCTCTTGGCTGAACACTCTGAAACTCAGCGTTTTGATGGCACAAAACGGTGGTTCACCGGCCGACTCTGGGTTGGTCGGGGGTTTCTCACTGGGATTTGGGGTGCCTGGCTCCCCCCGTGCGCCCCAGCAATGTGGGTGGTTTCCGGAGGCGCTGCCTCCGCTCCCGAGCCCCAGGGGATGGGGATGGTGCTGCTGATCAGGCTGGGCAACAACACTCGTTCGTACCGCGGGGGAGAGCGGCGCAGCAGGGGAGCGGACGGTACTCGTTTGTTCTGGGCAGACGGGACCCGAGATCAGGGTGCCCCATCCCCGCGAAAGCTTCTCCTGCCCAGCCGCCGGCACCGCTGGTTCCGGGGGGGACACGGAGAAGCCGTTTGGCCGCTCACTGGCAGCATTGTGGGGGCGGGCTGTGAGAATGAAAACCCCGTCCTGTGGGCTGGGTCTGGGCCGCTTGGCTTGTCCCCCTCGCCCGGGGGCCTCTCTCCGCACACTGCCGGGTTTGGGGGTTCTGATCCCCCCAGCCGGGCCCGGGTCTGGGGTCCTTCGTCCGCCCACCCGGACCACGGCCAGGGGCTCTGCCCCGCCGAGCCACACAGGGTTCAAAAACCCTCTGCTGCTGCTGGTCGTTCTGAGAAAAAAAAGAAAAAAAAAAAAAGAAAAGAAAGAAATGTGGAAAAGGCTGAGTTCTCATGGTCAGTTCAGAGTGCTGGAAAGCCACGAGTCAGCCTTGGCCCAAGTGGTTGAATTATAGGCTGTGGCCATGGTTTTCCAGAGATTTTTTTGATACTTTCGGATTTCTAATAGTTATTAGTGATTTTCTTTAGCAGTTCTCTGTTTCAGGATTCTGCAGGTCTGTTTCAGAACCAGGAAGGACCTTCAGGGACATCAAAGAGCAACATCTCCAGAATGGACCTTCTCCTGAAACTCAGCTGTTCGGACTTGAAACAATGAACTTTCTTTGCATGGTGGTTTGGGTTTCTGATATTGTAATCCTTGTGTTAGTGATGTAATAGAAGTATATATTCTACAGGTAAAGAATCTCCTTGATCATTCAATGTCAGCACTTCACTGAGGTTTTGATTTGCCATGGATAAACCTCTTGAGATGTGTTTGTTCTCTCTTCTGCAAGGGACCAGCAGAAGAATTACAAACGCAGCTCCTTTTTATTATAATAAGAGGGGTGAGGTGTTGCCACATTTCTCTTCCCAGGGAAAAGCAAGACACAATTCTTCCCAAGGATTTCTGAGATTCACATTCTCTGAACCTCTGAGAAAGGGAAAACACAATTCTTACCACTTGCTGTGCCTGTGTTGTGCCACAGTAGAATGCAATGTGGAGATTGTTTACCCACAGTGAGGATGTTTTGTTCCCTTGGCCTGTCAGGGCCAGGTGTGTGTGTGTGTGTGTGTGTGTGTTGGGACTGTGGGTGACAGCCACGAGAGTCAGTGCAGTGTGAGCAGGGTGAGTGCAGAGTGACTGCTCAGCAGATTCAGTTTAGATGAAATGTATATAGTATAGTATACTAATTAATTAGCCCTCTGATATCCATGGAATCCTCCTCATCATTCTCTCCCCTTGGTCGGAGTCACCTTTGATTTACAATAGCAAAGCAGAGATGAGTGATTACAAATAATAAGAGATTCAAAATGTATGAGTATTTTAAAAATTTTATTTCATTTTTAAATTTATACAGTCAGTGAAACAATCCTATAAAATGATTTTTCTAGGATGTTACAAGGCACATAAATTACCAAATATAAACATAGAAAAGTAGCCAAAATAATGAACTAAGCCCACATACGCCTTTAGCTGTATTAGAGGTATGTGAATGATTTTTGAGAATGTGAATCACTCTATTTACAGGGTAATGAATATTTCACATTTAACAATAACCAACAACATTAAAAAGAAGGGAAAAGAAAAGTTCATATCCAAGAACAGAGCCATGTTTTGTGACTCCAGCGGGACTTTAATTTTCTGAAGCTCTTCCTTGGGTCTGAGGGCTGTGCACCTTTACTGCTTCCCTCATGGGCTGCAGAACATCCCCTGGTATGACCAACCAGTTCTACTGGCTGACACAGGAAGGGGCAATCTCTCCACTTCCCCATGCTTCCACATTGGGCAGCTTTGTCAAAAACAGAAAGGATCTACACATAGATCGAACACTCAGCATTGTCTTCAGCTTTAAATAGTAAAATGGTGTGAAGGGGTTTCTTGGGCTTTTTCTTTTAAGTAATGGCTTTGAGAAGTTGTTTGGCATGCAATAAGCCATTATATTCTACTAATTAAGAAAAGATTGCAAAACCTACAAATAGTCAATTTTTATTTCATTTCAAGATACATTACCAAATAATTTCTCCAAATACCCAATTTCCACCTGCATATATATATTTCAACTAGACTAACAGTCAGGGATTCAAAGTAGTAAGATTTTGGTACAAATAATATTTCATTGCGTATTTTCTTCTATTAACAGGATTCACTGCTTTATGTAGCTCTAAGTATACATTCACATAATAAAGAGTAATAATTTGGCTAAAAAGATATGTCTGTTTATTATCCGATTGTAGTAATTTGCCTATCAAGGGTAATTTGCTATAAAAGATCCAGTACTAGAAATAAATAGTTCTAAATTCAAAGATCTTCAAAATGGGGTGTCATTTCCAGTCTGTGTTAAATTTTCCAAAGTCGTTTTAAAGCATTAACTAAATTCACTACGCTTGGGAGAATAATTTGGACTTACATACATGAAGTCCCACTCACATGAGAAGCTTATTTCACTTAATTTCCTTCTTGGTTTTGTAATGGGCAGAAACAACCAGATAATTGTCTGGATTCATGTCCCTGATGTTTGGAGACTTGCTCTGGATTGGAGATGTTTTCCCATCCACTCGGGAGATCTGAAGCATTCGGCATGGGTCGTGCTTCAGTAAGTAACCTGCAAAAGTCTCCCAGCCTCCTCCCACACGAACCATCACGTGTTTGTTGTGCAGCATCTGAAATTACACAGCAGGAAAAAACACAAACACTCTTGAGAGGCAACCATTCACAAAGAAATCATACTTTTTTTGCTGTAAAAACCTGCTTACTTTAACTGAAAGCCAAAAACACATGATGGTAGTACATAAAAGGAAAGGAAATACTGTACAATAAAAAGAGATAAATAGTAGAGTGTTTTTTATTTGCATTTTTGTTGGGAAGGATGAAACTGTGACAAGGAAGTCTCACAGATATGTATGTTTGGCAGAAAGATTTTTGAATGTAGAGTCTGATGAAGGAATAGAGATGGAAGCAAGTTTTGATATAGAAGAAAAGAATTGCTGAGCCAGCCTTACTGGATAACCAAGGAGGCAAAGGTTAGTTAGAAGGGGTTTTTATGGCTTAGAGCAAAGGATAAACCCATCTCAAACAAGAAGATGTTTTTACCAAGCAGAAAGATAGGACAGGCAAACAAGCCTGCTGATGTGGCAAGTAGAAAAAGGTCTCAGAATTTTCCACTGCAAGAAAACTGAAAAACAACTTCTTGCTTAAACTGTAATGTACTGACTTTTAGTGATTGGAGAATAGTGACATGAATATGGTAATTATAGTAGTTATGATAGGCTATAGATAAAAGTTAAGGTATAGATTGGTTCTACTGTATTAAGATGCTCAGCAAAGAAAAGTATAGAATGCAATGTAACCAAAAGAAAATTATAGAATGCATTGTAACCTAAACTAAGGGTGCAGCTGGAGCTGCCAGCTGTAGGCACTGGCTCTGTCCCCCATGACCCTGGACTGCTGTAACATCTTGGATACAATAAACTGCATTTTGGAGAGCCCCTGGAGTCCCAAATCCCTCATTCAGGCTCTTACACATTTTAAAAGTAAATTAAAAAAAAAAAGAGGTGGTATTTTAAACTAAAGACTTTCATATTTTATGTAAATAAATGTTACATGTTCTTCTAGTCCTATGAAGCATGGAGTCTTTCTGTTCTTCGTGTGTTTAGTAGTAATATGTCAGGGAACATGAATACTTAAAGATTTTTTTTTCTAAAATATATTAGTAAAGACACTGTTTTATATTGAATTGAAACTGGCTTTTCTTCACAGGAGTAGTGAAGGGCAAACAACCAAAATAATTTCCTCTATCTCTGAAAAATTTAAGAAATAAAAAACTTTTAAGTAAATGAAGTTACATTTAACAATTAAGTCTTGCTGACAATTTATTCTAATAAAATAGTTAGTGCTTTAATTAAACTAATCCAATGAGGTACATCAGAAGTAATTTATCTGGGTTTGGAAACACCTGAAATTTCTGCCTTAATTAAAATAAAATTTTTCTCCAAGTGCCAGTGTACCTTCTCCCTTGCCTACCCTTGAATTCAGTTGGTGATTTTACTAATATCTCCCTGTTGTTTTTCCATGCAGAACAGTAAAATAAATACCAGTGAGGTATCATAAAGCAGCACATTCTATAATTTATTGGTTTATTTTATAACCAACGTGAATACCACATTGAAATATGCTTTGATCAGGATATCTCATGAAATGCTAAACAACATTGAGCTGTAGTACCAGAAATTAAAAATTGATCCAGTAAAAGGTGTCTAGAAGACATTTGACACAGTCTGGGTTTTTGAATTTGGATGTGTAGCAGTGATGCCTATATTGACATGTCCAAAACTCCCTGGAGGGCTGGCAGTATTTGCAGTTGGGACTTAAATGGCAAATAAACCTTTTGTAACACAGTGTAGCCAAGAAAACAGCAAAAATCCTCAATCAAACAGAATCACACACAATAGAAGGTATGGAGGGGCTTGACAGCTGGCCTGCAAGCAAAGCTGAATTAATAGAACAACAATTGACGATTTTCGAGTGTATCCATAACAAGGAAGAAGACAAGGCCATCAGCATGAAAACAGAAGATACATGAAAATATTTGTAAGCTAAACTATGTGCCTAAGTAGATGTGTATATGTGCCTTATTAAATTTCAGTAAAACTTTTGCCAATATACTGACATTAATTGCTTTGCACCAATGAATATAATAAGTTATTGTGATGTAGTTAATGACTTAAGATCACTCTTTGTTAAGAGTATATAAGCTGGAGAACATGCAGAATAAAAAACTTTTTTCTTCCTGCACCCTGATCAAATGTGTATGTCATGTCCGACCTAATGGTGAGAAGAAGGCAAAAAATTAACTTAAAAAACCCCCTCAAACAACCCCTCACCTCAACCTATTGTTTGAATTCTGTGACATAAGGAAACAGATTCACCTGGAGTGAAGAAAGAATGGCCAGCTGTACAACTTACTGAAGTTTGAAAATCAGGTTACATTTATAAGGAATGGAACTCTTCATTAGAATAAGCAGCTGCAGATGAAATCTCATTTGACAGTTTTCATTTGAAACACTGTTCCACAAGGAAATTCTTGCTTGTGCACTTTGGTTTTTATGTGAAACACAATGTGCAATCAATTATGGATACTGAAAAATAAAGTTACTTCTGATCCATCACAAAGAGGTGCTCAAGCACTCTCAGTTTAATGAGTATCTCCCAGCTACTGAGTCCGTGCTGTTGCTCTGGGCTGTGTGAGTGTTCATTTCTTCAATAGCTGTACACAAATGAGGTTTTCCTCTAGATTTACGGGAGTGAGAACAGAATCAGACTTTTTATCTCAAGGTTTGTATTTTAGTTTCAAGACTTTGATTTGAGCTGACAAGGATATGAGATTTGAATCATGCCTTTAGTCTGGACAATGTATCATGAAAGAAGCAAATGGTTTTTGCATCAAGTTTGAAAATTGAAGGTCAAATGGAGACAGAGCCTTAAGACAGTCTGGAGAATTTTATTTAGCAACTTTCTTCTCTTTGAATGCCTTAAAAAGTTTTGAGAAGTGCCCCAAAAACTTTTGACATTAAAACAACTTAAGCCAAACTGTTGCAATACAACATGGGGTGGGGAGGGGTTGATTGTGCCTGAATTTCAGCTGCCCTGTATTATCACAGGGGGATTCAAATTCCAAGAGCAGTTAGTACCTGGGCTTTTGATTAAGATGCAAAGTTAGCAAAAAGTATATTTGCTTCAATTTCCCTTGCTGACTGCTGTGCAAACACACTATAAACACACTATTTCCTGATGCTTGGGTTAAATCTTTTGTCTTTCCCTTCTTTGATCTTTATCTTGTGTTACTATACTATTAAAAAATTCATTGAGTGCTTGCTTTCTACAGGCAGAGTTTTCCTACATCCTAAATGTAGTAACTGTTTATGCTGTATTGTGTGCACCATTTTATTCCTACAGTCATATTTCGATAGTAACATCAGCATGAATCCAAAATAATTCTGCTAGTTTCAGAATTGCTTCAGCTCCACAGAAGTTTGAAAGACTTCTTAGTATGGAAAAAACCACCAACAACTTGCTCTACTTTCTAACTCAAAAAGCAGTTTTCTTCCCAAAATACTTCAGCTGAAGATGAAACCTTTGAGATTTCATATTCCATCCAATTCACCTTTTCAATTGCATGAGATCCCTGAGAAGAAAAAGTTGGATTTTACAATAATAAAGTTTGTGAGTACCAATTTAAATACATTCATGGCGTCCATGTATTTTTCACACTGCTATCCAGCCAACTAAAACTAAGAAAATCCTTTCCAAAAATCCAACATATGTTTATGATTGCCATAAATTCCAATATTTCAGTTGTGTCTGAAGTGGGGCTGTCACTAAAGCTCTTCTCTCTTGAATCTGTCACTGAATCTACAGTGAACCAAACATATAACGAACCAGAGGACCAGAAAATAGCATTACAGAGGAAGAAATTATTGCTTTGGTAGGCACCAAGGCTGCATCCAGAGATAACAGGGACAATAGTTAATAGAAGTTAAGTGACACTGAGCTGTCATTGCATAGGACTTTGGCTTCAGAGTAAAATATAGTCTAAGCAGTTATGGTTTCACATACCTTAAGTTTGGTGAGTTTGATGTCTTATTAAAGAGATATTAGGCTGTATGTAAAAACAATAAGTTCATCTAAATAAGCAGTGCTTTACTGACTTGAAAAAAATCTATTCTGTGTTATAGGAACTAAAAATCTGGCCCAATCTGGCCCAATATTGTTACACTTCTGTGGATGCTGACAGTTTAGTCAGAAGAAGAAACAGATAACTTTCCCAGGCATCATCCTGGGGAAGTTGTGAGAAAGCTCAGAGAAAGAATTAAAACAATTCTTATCTTTGTGAACATGTGGAACATGTTATGCATGATGTTATGGAAAGATACTTACAAAGATGTGTTGTTCCTAATTAACCAATAGGGTGGCAGGTGTTATTAAGAACCAATCAGGTTCTTATAAAAATATGAAGTTTTGCAATAAAGTTGCTTTTATACCTTCTGAAAGTGCATGGAGTGTGTCGCCTTCATTCCCGTTCTTGACTCATTGGTGACACACTTCAGATTATAACTTTCTTAGAGAATATTTCAGGAGGTGAGAGGCAAAAGAAGGAGGAGTTACACACTTTAGATCTGATCCAAGTACTATAAAAGCCAACACAAAAACCATGCTGACTCAAAAGGAACTTGGGCTGGGCTCTGGAAACTAAATGCAGCAACCTAAGGCAAACAGTTAGTTGGTATGACTTCAGACCAACTTCAGAAACAGTGTAGGCTACATACTGAGAGAATATTGACTATAAAAATTGAAGGTGTTTGGCAAAATAATACAGAGCATCACACCAGTGGCTGTGCAAAAAAAAAAAAAATTCACACTCACAGAAGTGAAATGTTAATGAGATTGCTAATGAGAAAAAAATCAAATTTTACTGAATATAAGCCACTTAGACTTATTGTCATCAGTAGATGTATCTTGTTGCTTGTCTCTTAGGACTTAAGGATCCTTCTTTGAGTGCATTCAGAACAGCATCATGAAATGGGCTTCTAGATCAATACATTTCACAGTATTCCCAGAAACCTCACAGGCCAACACTAAGGAAATACCACTGATCTGAAGACTT